CTCCATTCTGAACACGGGCTGTTGCACCACCCGGCCCGCCCTGTTTACGTGTTTCTTTCAATGCCAAGAAGTGCTCAAGAACTGAATGTTCAATTCATTAATACACTTTTGGCTTGTGACAAACTATTCTAACTGCGTTGTGGCAGTTCTGTCATTGTCCACATCAGTTATGTAGTTTTTAAGATCATTACGATCACAAAGCAAACCACTTCAAGCAGCTTAACAGAAACTGCAGTCAGCACAGACCAGCCACCAGCCTGTCACCACCGTTAAACAGACCCTCATGAAACTCTGGAGATGAAAAGGGCCTATCTGCCAATATCATGTTTTCAGTTTGCTAACAACACTTTGTTCTCTCACTCATTTCAATAAGAAAGGAGTCTACATGGATTTCTTTTATTTATCTGAAAGGCTGAAATCTCGACAGCTCTGAAAAATACTCACTACTTAATGCTGACAATTAAATATCCCCAAAAAAAAAACCCAAACAAAATCAAAACCATATAGTTTCCTTTGGCAGAGTACAAACTGAGTATATCAAGGCTAGTCTCAAAAGTTAGCAATGTGCCAAGAAAAATTATAAAAAAATTAAAAAGTGTTCCTATATATTTTCTGTCTGAATACTCAAAATACTGAGGCCGAAAATGACTTTTTTTGCCTTTTGATACCCACAAAAGTTTACTGTATTCCTAAATGGCACAACCCAGCCTAGCAGCACGCTGACTTTCAAGAGTGCTGTTGGAATCTTGCAGAGAACGGCTGTGGCACTGCTTCACAACACCTATTCCTCTTTTTGCTATTTCCATTGTTTCTACTTCCACATGCTAGGTTCTCTGAAGATCACTAGTTTTCTTGTTACAACCTTCTGAGCAGTTGTTAGCGAGTAAGAAAAATTAAACCATCTAAATGTCTGAAAGTAAACTACCCTGTCTAAAGGTAAAACTGCAGATGGCAGCGGCTTTTCTTCTCTGATACCACAGGGCCACCGTGGGCTGCACTGAACAAAACCGCTTGGGAAGTACTGGCGAGGGATTCTCCCTCTTCCTGTGAAGTTAGTTCTTCTGGGCCCAGTTACTGCTCTCATTACAGCCTTTAGATATGCCACTTGTCTAGGAACACACTGAGGAGGGGATGAAGGCAGCATTGGACAGAGAGCAGAAATATTTAAGATGCAGAAAGCTTGCAGTAATGGCCATAAATAAATGCAATGGGAAAATTTGGGAAAGACAGCTGACCATTGGACATCAAGTGTGAGGCAACCTGTTAACAGGAGTGGTGGGAAAACTGCCCTTCAACTGAGAAGTCAAGGGGCGACACATTCAAGAGCAGCGGATTTGATGCTGTTTCTTGTGACAGTGCTGTTGCTAGACTAGATATAAGTGAACCCATAAGGTCCATTTTTGCTTTAAATTATTGTGTTCTCTTACTAAACCTACTCAGTTGTGCCTCAGAGATCAACTCTGTTAACTGAAAAGAGTGGGATGGTTCTTGTGCTGGATACTTGCAAAGACTGACAGATTAGTCTATGGGCAGTTACATTCTCAAAATATGACTAAAAGCTGAATACATGTTTGTTCTGTAATGAAATGTTGCATGCTATCCACTGAAAACAGTTTAAGATGATCTCTTACTTCCTGTATTATGTGAAACAGGACATTATATGCTTTTCAAAAGAGAAAAATAACTTGCATTAAAAATACATTCACTTGTCTTTTTGTGTGAATTCTAGAGTTTATTAATCCCTCCGATGGCCTTATAAATACATTCATATTATTCTCTGGTATTCAAAACAAGACTATCTCTGTCCCTTTTCCCATTAGAAATAAACTCTTCTGTAAATGGCATCAGCCAAATATGCATCTTATTTATGGCAAGCAGAAAAATTTTTTAAATCTAGTTTGACATCTTAGTTATTGCTTTTAACCTAAGCCATAAAACAATCTATAGGTGCTACAAAAATTCTAATAGAAAGAACTCTTAGTTTTTAATGAGTTACAAAATAATGTAAGAAATAACCCCAAAGCTTTATCTAAATAAATTTCAGCTTTTCACAGTGAACTGTAACTCACCATATATTTTCATTTGTGCTTTCGGGACAGCAGAAGATACTGAATTAGGCATCAAACCTTCACATCGCTCTTTCAGAATTTGGTGGGTGCCTGCTGGACCGAACGGCCAGGAATAACCATGCCGTTCCCTTTGGCGTAGTCTTAAAAAGAGTCTGAAAGCGTCGGGGGAAATTTGTCTAAGAAAATACAACGCAGACTCAGAATGCCCAAACCGTGTAGGCTCAGTCATAAAGAAAGACTGCAGCTTGTGAAGACGCTTAAATTAGCTAAGTTAAGGGATTGATAGCAACAAAGCCAGTATCAGGACGGATTTCAAAACAGGCTAGTTACTCTGGTGAAGAACCTGGCATCTCAATGGGGCCCAAACAGTCTGCAGTTTCTGTGAGACCTCAACTTCCCTGCTGTTTTCTGAACAAGCTGCGTTACAACATCAAGCTATACCTCCACATGCTGCTGCATGTACACTTTCAGCTTTGGCACGGATGCACCCCGGTATAGAAAACAGAGAACACGGATGCCATTGCTCAGAAAATACTGGAAATGGCATTCGACCAGCAGCATGGCAAAATCTAGCACACCTTTAGTGATCATTTGGCCCTCTCAAACACTGATATTGTGCACAGACACAATGCTTGGACTGCTTAAGAGGCAGTACTACTAAAAAATATTAAGATAATAGGTACTTTAAATCTAGTCGTATATAGCAGAGCTCAGACGCTGTCATTGATATTGCCACATTCAGTGATGCTGCTGATCGGGCAGTTCTGCTCCCCCAGCTCAATCCTGAGCAGGCAGAACCGGCCGTGCAGCGTGGTGGCCATCACCGCTTCTGCTCCCTGCTGGGACCTGAGGATGCCTGCGACAACTTTCGCACCCGAGGAGGTCGTTATCCCGGTGCAGCTGAGGTGTGAGTTTAAACAAAGCCATGCTGCTGCACCCCGCGTGGACACCCCCCGCAGCGCTCCTGGCCCTCCCCCGCCGATGACCAGCCCACAGCAGGTCGCTCTCCACCCGCTGGGCAGCTCGGGCCGGGGCTCAGGAGGGACGCAGGCACACGGCCACCCTGCAGCTGGCCCGGGGCGGCACACCGAAACTTCCAGATGCGCCTCCCTCCGGCCGTGCTCCAGTCAAGGCAAGGCGAGCCTTCAGCCTTGGCGGGAGCCGCCCAGCGCTGGCCATCGAGGCGCTGGGCTCTCTTGGGCTCTCTGTTGTCAGCTGGGATCAAAGCACCCCTGCTGCCCCCTGGCAGGACGGGAGGCAACGTGCTCGCGGCCCGGCCAACAGGGGCGATGGTCACACCACATTTGGGGTATTCTACCTGCAGCGGTTCCCAGCATAGCTGTACACGCGAAAGCACGTTTTTTCACCACATGCCTCTATGCACTAGCGCTTACCCTATGTAAGAATGTATTTAAAAGAAAAAAACTGACGTTATTAAACCAGTGGAAGTAGAAGACCAGAAGCAGCTTTGAGGTGCTTCAAAATGCCTTCCATGGTAAGATGAATTGATATCGTATTATCAGACACTTTGTTCTTTCTTTTTGGCTGCCAACCTAATGGCTGAGCTATTACAGTATCACTGTTCTTATGTTACAGCCTCAAATGCACTCAAGCCTAATTTAAAATCCACCTTTTGCTCTGAAGCTGAAACCACGTTAGCGGTGAAAATGAGGCCAACTGCATCCAAATCTGCACTTACAAAATTAAAGGCAGGATTTTCTTAGCAGAGGATTTCTTAGGTTGTCAAATTTACTACCACCAGAGATCACACCCTCCTTCAAATCATCACATATGACTTTTCACTCTAATGAAAAAAAAGATAGTTTCAATGAGCCAGGGTTGTATTTTTTTAATGTCACCACTTTTTGTGGTACAGGAAGTAAAAGGAGACTTATGTCTCTTCCCTAGGGACGGTGCATTTCCAGATGTGTGTAAGAATAAGCAGATACGCTTAGCATCTCGAAGCCTTGTCTATAGAGGCACTGTACGTACACACAGTTAATAAGAGATAAAAGTCCTAGAAAGCTTCCAGTCAAAACAGATGAAAGGATGGGGAAAAAAGAAATAATATTATCCTCTTTTTACATATATAACTGTATCTATCTGTGAAAGCAAAGAACTGAGAAAATAATTGCTTGCCTAAGACTGGAAGGAAAGCCTGTAAATATGAACTTAAACTTAATACTTCTCAAGTCTCAATCTGGTGTTGCAAAACCATTACTTCTCCCAAAACAGCATATTAAGGAAATACCATCAATTAACAAAGCGAACTGCAGACCAGAAGGATCGTAAATAAAATACCACATAGAAATGTAAGTATGGACAAATCTGATTTTTGAAAACTTTCTCCTATGTCCAGTTTGAACAATTGGCTCTTTCACAGAAGCTGGCAAATAAATGCTAAATGTAACAAAAAGTCATTGTGCAACAAAAACTTCATTTATAATTATCTACCATATTATATTGATCTCCCATATTATATTGATCCCCGTGTTGACCACAATCAAAATACTCCAGTAGCTGACACATGAGGTCAAAACGCAAGAGAGGAACACCCTCCTGGATATAAGGAAAAAGGACAAAAGGAGTATGTTTAGGGAAGACTGAGGGAAAAAGAATTGAACTTCCATCTGAGAGCTACTTGTAGATGCATTTTTTGTTGCATATTTTATACTTTCCTCTTCCAATATCAGAGAGAACTGAGTTTATTGCAGTTGTAAAAAAAATAGCAGTACTTCAAGACTCCCCTTTCCCCCAGTATCTGTATTCCTCTAGCATTTATATTTGATGAAGTCTTTTTAAAAGAGAAACTAATTCTTTCAAAAAACTCACACCGTGGTGGCAAAGACATAAATCTCTCACATTGTCCCCAGAGCCTGATTATTATAGATTAGATTATTATGGAAAGGAAGATTTAAATATCTCATTTACCTGAACAGCATCATAATACATTTTCTTGCCTTCTTCATCTGTCTTGTCCGACATCAGCCATGCCTTGAGCAAATATTCATAAAAGCTATCCCCAAGTCCTCCAATGGAGACGTGATCTTAAAAGGGAAGAAAGAGATTGAACAGCAATTTCATCTTCAGCCTGGGCAATAAAATACAATTACAGTTTGAAACAGTGCATTTAATGATCTCTTCCTACAACAATTTTTAATAACTATGAGCCTGGAATCTCAGGAAAATCTTAACTGTATATAGAGAGAATTATTTCTTGCTAACTTTTTCATCAAGCTAAAGCACCACAGTTATTTACTATTCACAACACACTATAGGAGTTCATGGCAAAGAAACAAGAATTAGTACGTTTAGCATCTAATTCATGCAGCCTATCCCATACAAAAGAGTGCTAATCTAAGCTCCTTTTTATTCTAAAAACAGGGGGAAAATGTAGCAAATGCTCCATTTAAGTCACTTCATTAAAAAGGCCAAAATGTTTCAGCTCTTTGGTAGGGTTGAATTTCAGGTTATTTAATGATATTTCAAAATGCTGACCCATATGTTTAAAAATAATACTACATTTTTGAACATCTGTCTGCTCTCACAACTCAGCAGTGGTTCTGGAAGGAAAAAAAAACAACAGACAGTTTGCTACATCTACAGAGGATTATTGGTATCATGCTGCTTTATTCTGCCCTACACTTACTATGTGAAATGGTGTGGTACTACAGACGCTGTGATTATCCAACTGCACACGTTTAGGACGTGACCCTGCAAGCTCTTGACACCACACAAGGCAGACTGTTTGATGTCAGATGCATCAGTGATGTGAAAGTCAGTGATGCTCTCAGCCACTTGGCACAAGGTTGCACTCCCTTGCTGCCCAGAAGCCCAAAAGATTCTTGGCACAATTTTAATAGGCTATCGAGATTTCAGCACAGATCCCCCAAACACATGAAACACTACAACCGTATATGTGTGTGTATGTGTACATATACATATATATATGTGTGTGTAAAGTGTTTCTCTAAGCTCCATTAAACTAAGAACACAAGCTGGGTTTTTCTTTTTTAAAGATGCTCCTGGTAACATTAAGAGATTTGGCATTTATCGAGTCTTCAGTGAAAGGATTTCAAAGTGCTTTACCAGGACTACTCATTTATAATGGTCAGTTTTACAGCGAGGAAGGGATCAGCTAATTCCACCCGAGACATCCAGGATGGAGACGTGATTAAGTATATCACGCAGCAAGTCTGTGCGCCATACCACAAAATTCCGGGCTGAGAAAAGCAAAACACTCATGGGGTAATCCAGGCTCATAAAGCGAGACATAGAAGGGTTAGTGGTACAGAGCTTACACTTCCCAACACCTAACTCTGATCTTAGCTTCAAAGTTTAGCCTCTGTTGGTGGAATGCAAAAGAACACAGAGAGTTATTTTTAAACTCCTTAGCATCTTCTCTCCATGGAATGCCTCCTTTCACCTTCTGAAGAGGCTGCAAAGCCATGCAAATGTAGAAGTACTTTTTTTCTATTCAAACTTCATTACTAGTGTCTTTTTCCTCCACTAGCCTGTGACGTACAAAAATAATTTAGTTTTCCAAACGTATTCTGTCCCTTTGCCTAACAAATACATTGTACCATCAAACCTGGGTTATAAATGGCTTTTTCCCCCTCTCCTCTTTTGAATGAGATGTATAAAATTTCTGGAAAGAATACACCATTTATTTAATTAAATGTTCATGATCCAAAAGGAAAAGAGGCTTCTTAAAAAAAATGAGAACATTTTGTATGATCGAAGGCTGATCTTTGAACAGCAGCATTTAAATGACCTTTATGGTTTCCTAAATAAATTACCATAGAAACCTCTGACATTTGCAAACTAAATAGCACCAGCACAGTTTCATCAATAATAAGCCCTGTTATTATATACATTATTGCAGTAGACAAATTCAATTGACGCATGCTGCAGCAAATCACTGTCAGTTTACTGTCAAAATAACAGGGGCTAAATGAATTTACAGGAACAATGGCAGTGATCCAGCAGCGTCCTTCACAGTTACAGCATTGCTAGAGATGAAATGTTCAGAAACTATCCCTCCCTCCCCACTTGATGTTTGAGGGATAATACTTCTGTCTTGTACCAATTAAGAGTCTAGGGTTTTGTTTTGCTGTGTAATCAACTGAAAACCACCTAGAAAAGCAAGCTCAAATAAAACCTCTCTGAAGTCTTACATGCTGATCTTCTACTATGGGGAAAAAATTAATAAATTGGGGTCTTTGAACAGAAGCAATTGAATTGGAAGAGATGCAACAAGATCGAAGTTGCTCTCGCTGCTTCAGCATGCTAGGGGCTGACCCGCATCAACATCTGTGTCCATCATTTGCATGCGCAGGAAGCTATTTGTCAATACTACATGCCATTGGAAAGCAAAGCTGGTATAAACTGTAAGTTTTCCTGTGCACACTAACAAAAACTGGTATTTAACGTGAATAAGGAGTACATAAGACACAATCGTATTAAAAATAGGGAAATGGCAAAGGCCATAAGGCAGAGTAAATACTTGACTGCTTTAAAAGAAATAAGGCAAAGCCACTAACGGTGTGAGCCACTAGAAAGATCTGCTCTCATGCAGCTCACCAAAAAGCTGAGTTTCTGCGGCTGACTGAAGCTGAGGAAGGAGGCAACTGGACCTGGCCTACAGACGCTGAAGTGGCCTTCTAACCAAATGCAGTGCCTATTGCTGCAGGAGCGGCACTTCTAGTATGAGGTATAATGGTTTGCAAAGCTGTGCTAAACCAACACGGGTAACAAGTGGGCACAGATCTCAGATCTGTACATGTGTGTCAGAGTTTATACCAACGTGTCAAGCAGAGTCGATGGTTATGCATGCTGAGCTACCGCAGGCCTTGTGGCATGGTGACCTGAAGCGTAGCAGACTAGGAGGTTTTCTAAAATGATGGGCATACTTCTAATTCAGAAAGGGAAATAGACTTTGCCTTGATGGGACAATACAACTGAGCAGCACAACCTTTTTGGTCATCTTTTTAATTCTGAGAGTGACATAAAGCATTCAAAAGTATATTCTATTCAATAAAACACTCATTCTTTGTCTTTGCAAAAATCACTTTATCTATCCAGACTGTGGCAAGTCCCATAAGGGTCCCAGAACCTCACTTCCACCTTACCTGCATCCTAAACAAACTATTATATTCAAAAACTTCTCTAGTCCTTTCCCTCCCTTGTATTGTCTAACCAGTTCCAACACTGATAATCAACATGAGCAGCTCATCTGCCTGTGTCTTTTCAGACCAAGATAGCACATCTTGCTTGTTTTCTTTCAATAATGTAGGGAGGAAAAAACAACGAGAATACTGAATCACATGAATGGGATAGTGGTAGACCGAACCCAAGTGGGAAAAATGGAAAAAGAATCTCTAGAATTGTGATGCTACACGCTACGTAGGCTTTGAACATGTTATGAAGATTGGAGAAGGCAACGTACAACAAGAAAAGGCTCAGTCATCAGGAAGGGGCTAAGT